CCCGGGAATGTGCCCTGACTGGGAATCAAACCAGTGGACCTCTGGGTGCATGGGACAAGGCTCAATCAACTGAGCCACACCAGTGAAGACTTGGAAAAGTATTTTCCAGCCCTGGCCAGTTTGGCTCAATGGTTGGAGCATCGGCCTGTGGACCAGAGTTCCGGGTTTGGTTTCCGCTAGGGGCACATACCCCCCCAAAAAAAGTATTTTCTACACTCATTACAGATATAATGTCTCCCTCCAGTATGAGTCCTCTGGTCTCTAAGGAAGTGAGATTTCCAACCCTGTTTTTGTTTTCTGATTTTTAAAAATTATTAAAAAAAATTTTTTATTGATTTTTTAGAGAGAGAGGAAAGGATAGATAGAAACATCTATCAGCTGTCCCCCCACCGCCACACACACACTAGGGATGGCACCTCCAACCCAGGCATGTGCCCTGACTGGAAATTGGACCAGGACCTCAGCCCATGGGACGATGCTCAGTCCACTGAACCACACAGGCCAAGACAGTACCCATTTATGTACGGACCAAGATTTAACAACGATTTTTACATTCTTGAATGTTTGAAAGAAAAATACAAAGAATATTCGTGAAATGTGAGAATTATATAAAATTCAAATTTCAGAGTGCATGAATAAAATTTTTTTTTTTTTTTTTTTTTTTTAATCCTCACTCGAGGACATTTTTCCATTTTTTGTTCAGATAGAGCGGGAGGGAGAGAGAGGAAGAGAGAGAGAGAGAGAGAGAGAAACATCGACGTGAAGGGACACATCGAGTGGCTGCCACCCGCACGACCAACCAGGGCCGGGGACAAACTGCAACCAAGGTACATGCCCTTAGCGGGAACCGAACCCGGGTCTCTCTGTACCGCAGGCCGACACTCTAACCGCTGAGCCAAACCGGCCAGGGCTGAATAAAATTTTTTTAATTGATTTTAGAGAGAGGGAGACAGAGAGCGAGAGAAACATACATGTGAGAGAGAAACATCAATCAGTTGCTTCCTGAACATGCCCTGACTGGAGATCGAACCCACAACCTGGGTATATGCCCTACCTGGAATCAAACTGTTAACCCTTTGGTGCACGGGACAACGCTCAACTAACTGAGCCACACCAGCCAGGGCCATAAATAAAATTTTATTGGAATACAACCATTCCCTATTCTTACAAATTGTTTACAGCCACTTTTTCACTACAAGAGACTTGTAGTTGGTTGTAGCAGAGACCATATTATGGTGTGCAAACTCTATAACATTTATTACCTTGCCCTTTACAGAAAAGTCTACTGACCCCTGATGTTAGATACAACCACTGAATTTTAACTATTTAAAAAATAGTTTACAAAACTATAGGCATTACTTCATACCCACTAAAATGGCTATAATAAAAAAGACATAACAAGTGTTAGTTAAGGATGTGGAGAAATCAGAACACTTACACGTTGGTGGTGGGAACATAAAACGGTATAGTTGTGGATAAGTTTGGCAGTCCTTCCAAAGTTTGAACAGAGTTACCAGGTAACCCAGAAATTCCACTCCACGGGTAATGAATGTGTATATCCACACAAAAACTTGTACATGAACAATCATAGCAGCATTATTCATAATAGCCAAGGTTGCAGGTTTGATCTCTGGTCAGGGCAGATACAAGAATCAACCAATAAATTCATAAATAAGTGGAACAACAAATTGATGATTCTCTCACTCTCTCTTCCCACCCTTCCTGTCTCTCCAAAATCAATTTTTTAAAAAGACAAAAAATTGTTAATCTTATTTTATTTTACCAGAAATAACCATGGATTCAGTTGAATTTCTTTAGTCACTCTAAGCCTAGACATCCATACATACTTATGTATTTGCTATTTCCTCCTCCTGGCACTTATTACACATACTATTAATCCATTTGCCTCTTAGGGTCTTAATTGTTGCCCTTGTAAATGTGGATTTTTAATTTGGCAAAGGAAATCTTGTACCCCAAACCCACCTCTTCTCCAGTGAATCCACTTCTACAAGTGTTGCCCATTAAGAGATTCTACCTGTGGCCTTACTGCCCCTCCCTGGTATTTGACGTGGTCAAATGGCCCCTTCTTGGCCTTTTTTTCTTCATCTGATTGCCTCCTTTCCCTGTTTTTCCCATGGTCACTTGCCTCTTGAGTTTCCATGCTGAGTGCTCATCTAACAGAATCTGAGGTGTACAAGGGTCTGTCTACCTTGTCCTGCCCACTCCCATCACCTCTTCCTCCCGGTGCCCCTACACCACTCCCACAAGACATGCCACTCCCTGTATGGGGCAGTCTTCCCTCCCCGCCCCTTGGTTAATCTCTCTCTCTCTCTCTCTCTCTCTCAGCTCTTGGCTCTGTTATTTTGGTTCTTCTCCCTATATTTCACATTGATGTTTTCATGATTGTTTGATAAATGCCCATTTTTCTCTCTAGCTGGACAGCTCCATGAGGCGGAATACACTGTCATGCTCCCAGTTAGACGACCCAGGGGTCTGTGTGCCGGCATCAGGGATGCCCATAAAATGTTTGTTGATTTAATGAACCAGAAGAGTTTTTGCAAGACACTGATTGCTGGTAACAGGTGAGATTCTGGAGGCAATTTCTTTATTTCCAATTTTTCTGTATATTCTGAATCTTATCTTTCAGTAAGCAAGGATTACTTCAGAATCGGAAAACAACGTTGTGTACCCAGTGTGAGGCTGTCCACTGTTCACTCATGCTGGTTCACTTCCATCTAACTCTTTTACTGAGTACCTGCTCCTGTATCCTACAGGTCGGGGATACCACAGAAAACAGAGCCTAATGTTTACAGTCCAGCAGGGGAGATAAACAATTACAATGTCTGGTATATCAGTCAGATGGTGGTCAATGCCAGGGAATAGAACAAGGGAGTGTGTGTGTTGGGCAGGGGCAGTTACAATCTTAAAGAAGTCAGGCAAGGCCTTGCTGAGAAGGTGATATGTGCTATGAATGAGAGGAGGTGAAGAAGTGAGCTGGAGGTATTAGGGAAAAAGGGTCCCCACAAAAGGAACAGTGACCACAGTCCCAGAGAAGAGAACATGCCTGGCACGTTTGAGCAAGAGCAGGGAAGCTACTGAACTGGAAAGGAGTGACTAAGAGGGAGATGGAAAAACATGGGGCCATGGAGGTAACAGAGGCTACCAATGGAAACATTATTGCCAGGCCAAAACAAAAAAAAAATTATGCAGACAGCTGAGGTAACCTGTATTATGGTTGAAAATATCTGCTGCCTCTCTTACAGGGAAGATGACACATCCCTGCTCCAGTGACATCATGCTTGGTCTTGGATTTGCTGTGGCAATGGACAGTGAGTGGAAGTGTGGGGTGCTACTTCTGAGCAGTTCTCAGAGCCTCCACATGGATTCACCTGTCCTCCTTTACTGTGCCATGAGATCAGCAATGCCCCAGGAGAGAGGCTGCTCTGATAGCCCCGAAGATTTTTGCTGCTATTCATTACTGCAGCCTAACTTACCTTAAGCTGACTGATAAAACAAACCACCAGACTTACTGCCTTTTTAGAGGTTAAAGTACCTTTCACATGCCCTGACCAGTTTGGCTTAGTGGTTAGAGCGTCAATCTATGGATCAAAGGGTCTTGAGTTCGATTCCCAGTCAGGGACAAGTGCCTGGATTGCAAGTTCAATCCCCGACCCCAGTCACGGTCGTGTGGGAGGCCACCAGTCAATCTCTCTCTCTTTCGGCCTCTCCCTTCCACTCTATGTAAAAACAAAAATTACTTTCACAGATCCCATACACCTATCGGAATGACTAAAATAAAAATAAAATAGACATTACAAGTGCTGAGAAGGATGCAGAGGGAAAGGAAGTCTCATTTGTTGTTGGTGGGAAAACAAAATGGTACAACCATTTTGGAAAGAAATAGGATGTAGCCCAGCCGGTGTGGCTCAGTGGTTGAGTGTCCACCCATGCACCAAGAGGTCACTGGTTCAATTCCTCTGTACCGCAGGCCGACGCTCCAACCGCTGAGCCAAACCGGCCAGGGCTCAATTCCTGATCAAGACACATACCCAGGTTGTGGGCCCAATCCCCAGTGGGGGGCATGCAGGAGGCAGCCAAATAATGTTCTCTCTCATTGATACTTACCTGTCTCTCTTTCCCTCTCTTCCTCTCTCTCTAAAATCAATAAAGAATAAAAAAAGAGAATTCCCAGGGAAGCCATTCCCCAACGTTGATGCAATGTCATACAGCTTAAGTGGCTCTCACTTGGCCACCTGCCTCAGGAAGGACATTCCCAGGTCATCCCTCACCTCTCCATAGCCTCCTACTCCCCATTTTCTGAGGCCCACCCACTCCTCCACAGTGATACCCCTCATTTTAAAAAATATTTTCTTTTGCTCTGGCCAGTTTTGCTCAGCGGTTAGAGCACCAGCCCGTGGACCAGAGAGTCCCGGGTTCAGTTCCCACTAAGGGCACATACCTAGATTACGGTTCGTCTCCAGCCCTGGTTAGGGTCATGCGGGTGGCAGCCAGTCAATGTGTCTCTCTCACATTGATGTTTCTCTCTCTCTCATCCTCCCTCTCTCCCTCCTGCTCTATCTGAAAATAAATGCAAAAATGTCCTCAGGTAAAGATTAAAAAATAATAAAATAAATAAATAAAAATATGTTTTTGTTGACTTTTTAATACAGAGAGGTAGGGAGAGTTCAAAACATCAATCTGAGAATGTTTTGGCTACCTCCTGCATACCCCCCACTGGGGACTGAGCCCGCAACCTGGGCATGTGCCCCAACTGGGAATCGAACCCAGACCTCTCAGTCCATGGGATGACCCTCAATCCATGAGCCACACCAGCCAGGTGGTGATCCCCTCATAATCCAAGTCCCAAAGGAGGAAATTATTGTCCTGGGACTTTTTATTCCTTATCAAATCATTATAGCAACAATGTATGACTTGTAACAAGAAAAAAAAATCATACACAATTGCAGTTCCCTAAGAAAACCACATTTATTTCTCCATGATCAATGTCCATTCTACATCCATATGTAAACATATCTTCACATGGCTGTCATACAGCAGCAAATCTACTTTATGCCATTTTTTGTTGTTGCCTGCCATATTATAACATTTCATTATGTCAACAAAACTTTTACAATTATGGTTCAGCATGGAACAAATCAGAAGTTTTCTAAATGAACAACAGGGGGAGAAAAGGTAAACATAACAACTCAGGAATTCTGTTGCAACAACTAAAGCAGTGCATCACATTTCTACAGCATCCCGCAGTATCCTAGTATGAGCCCGCTTGTCTTTTCTTAAGAGGGATAGTGTCACTGTTCATTAACAAGCACTGTCATCCTCCAAGTGCCTCCTCTGAAATGAGTCCTCAGTACCTGGCAGGAGGGAAATAAATCCAAACAGCAATCTCCTCAAATTTTGCACTTGCTATGGTGTGGAGAACTGTGGAGCCTCTCACCAGGATATTGCTGCTGATCCAGACAAGACAATAAGAGCTCCTGCCGAAAGCTGCTCTCACTGATCACACTTGATTCTGCTAAGATTTGGCTTATGTACAATAGGCAGACACTACCAATTAAAGGATTCCTCGTACCAATTAGTTACTGAATACATTCACAGGTTCTTTCAGTTTACACACTCTGACATAGGAAGTTGGGTGTCTACGGAGAAACATCTTCCTGACATCCACAGGTTTTATTCCAGTGTATGCACTATCATGTTCCATACAGGCTGATCATTCCTGAAGCCTTTTCCACATTTATTACCATCTTGGGTTCCCTCCAGGAGTTCCCTAATGTATCAACTTAATAATATGGCTAAAGAATGTCTCACATTCAATTTACTGGATAGGGAAGAGAAATATTTTAAAATACATTTCTATATTTAAAAACCATGTGTGTAATGTAACCCCAACCATGCAAAATTATGTACATATAAAAAGATGGGGAAAGGACGGCCACTAGAATACTAATGATGAGTATCAGAGAGAGTGGCATTGCAGTTGATATACTTTTTTAGTTAAAAAAAAAAATTCTTGGCCCTGGCCATTTAGCTCAGTTGGTTAGAGCGCAGTTACAATACACCAAGGTAGCGGGTTTGATCCCAGGTCAGGGCACATACAAGAATCAACCAATGAATGCACAAATAAGTGGAACAACAAATCAATGTTTCTCTCTCTCTCCCTTCCCCTCTCTCTAAAAAACTCAATAAATTAAAAAACAAAGATTTTATCACATGAATTTAAAAATTCTTTTGTAATGACAGGGAGCAGTAATCCCTGAAGACACCCCTCCTTCACACAGGTTTTCAAGAGCATTTGGGAAACGAGTGTACCCACATTTATTATATTTCTTTGGGTTGCTCTCCAGGGTGTGTTCTCTGATGTCGAACCAGGGCTGAGTTCCTTCTAAAGGTTTTCCCACACTGACGACACTGGCTGAGACCTTCCCTGCTGTGTAGTCTCTGATGTACTGCAAGGTGAGAGTTCTGCTTGAAGGACTTCCCACACTCTGGACACTGGTAAGGAGTCTCCTTGGTGTGAATTCTTTGGTGCTTGGTCAGACAGGAGCTGTCCCTGAAGGCTTTGCCACATTGACTACACTCATAGGGCTTCTCACCAGTATGAGTCCTCTGGTGCCGGATGAGTCCGGCAATGTTCCTGAAAAGTTTCTGACACTGGTCACAGCCATAGGGCTTCTCACCAGTGTGAATTCTCTGGTGCCTGATAAGGTACGCACTCTCGATGAAAGTCTTCCCACACTCTTTACACTCATAGGGCTTCTCCCCAGAATGGATTTTCTGATGTACGATGAGGTGAGAGTTACGGTTGAAGGATTTTCCGCACTCCACACATTCAAAGGGTTTCTCTCCAGTGTGAGTCCTCTCGTGCTGGGTGAGGTATGAGCCATCCCGGAAAGCCTTTCCGCACTTGCTACATTCGTAGGGCTTCTCTCCAGTGTGGATCCTGAGATGTACAGTGAGGTGGGAAATGTCTGTGAAAGGCTTCCCACACTCATTACACCTGTATGGTTTTTCCCCTGTATGAGTTCTTTGATGCAAAATCAGGGATGAATTTCGGTTGAAGGTTTTTCCACATTCTAGGCATTCATAAGGTTTCTCTCCGGTATGAATTCTCTGATGTTGTGTCAGAGCTGACCCATCGCTGAAAGCTTTCCCACACTTACTGCATTTGTAGGGCTTCTCTCCTGTGTGGATTCTTTGATGCACAATCAGGTTGTAGTTCTTAGAAAAGGATTTTCCACACTCATTACAGGTATAAGGTTTCTCTCCAGTGTGAGTTCGGTGATGCAAAACAAGAGAAGAGTTCCGTTTGAAGCACTTGTCACATTCGGTACATTTGTACAGCTTCTCCCCAGGGTGACTCCTCCTGATTTCATTAAGAGATGAACTCAAGGCAAAGATGTCCCCAAATTCCTTGCCTTCATAGAATTTCTTCCCTCTTTTTGTTATTTTTTGTTCACCAAGAGGGGTAAAATGGTCAAAAGACTCAAGACTTTCAGGGTATTTACAGGGCTTCTCTTTCATTTGATTTCTTCCAAGTTGTTGAATAACTTCAGTGGAATGGCTGAAGGCTTTTCCACAGGCATCGCTGTCACTAGTTCTCTTAGCTATACAACCTTTTTGAGAACTGTAGAAAGCTGGGTCACAATCCAAACTTCTAATCTCTGAGTCATGCACATGGAAACCATTTGTTGTAGGAATCCTCTGAGATGGTGGAAGGTCTAAGCTTGCACTCAAAGGCCTCCCAAGTCCAGGACACTCACAAATTGCTTCCCGAGCCCCTGGCTTTTCCTGAGTTAAAGCCGATTGCCTCAGGTGTCCCTCCCAGCTCTTACAGTCCCAATTGTCACCTGGAATGGAGAAATGGGGACCCTCTCTCGTAAATCCTTCCATTTCCACGTCCCCGGATATTTCTTCCTCAGGAATATTCTGAGCTGTCATTCTGTCTTGTGCTACAGGCTGAAAAGTGAAGAATGAGAAAGACATAGTTCAGTACATGAAGCTACAGCTGAAAAAATAATGAAAAATGGTAACAGGCAGGGATGTGGGTGTGTGTTTTTACTTGTTTTCTTTCTCAAATTCACAACTGTACAAGGGAGAGATAAGCTGAGAATCAAGGGATGGAGGCAAGAACGGGATCAAAGAGAGCTACAGAGCATTTTCATCTTCTTAAAGAACAGGCAGGAGGAACAGTCCTGGGGGTAAATATCACCAACAGGATTAGCCTGTGGCACGCGAGACCAGGTGTCACTGCTCACATTGGAACACCTCCTCAGCCACTGTGTATATGACAGCACTGAATCAGCTGCACCCCTGCTTGGTAGCCAGAGATCTACCTTCATGCATGGGATGGAGCACTGGCTCAGTGACCCTGCAGGATTATTAGGGGAGTCAGATCACATCTGAGGCTGGTTCTGAGTTGGAGAAGGGACAGCACTCTGTAGGTGTCGCTGGTGTCATCACCATTCCCGATCCTCCTCAGACCACCCTCCCACCCCTCCACTTCATGGCATCAAGACAACTGGCTCTCCCAATATTTTTTAGGTAAAATGAAATTAGACTTTTACCTGAGGAAAAAAAAAAAAATATATATATATATATATATATATATATATATATATATATATTGTTGTTAATCCTCAGCTGAGGATATTTTTTTCATTCATTTTTAGAGAGACTGGAAGGGAGGGAAGGAGGGAGGAAGAGAGAGAAAGAGAGAAACATAAATGTGAGAAAGAAACATTGAGCCTGGCAGGTGTGGCTCAGGGGTTGAGCGTCCACCTAAGCACCAGTAGGTTTCTGGTTTGATTCCCAGCCAGGGCACATGGCCAGATTGCTGGCTCGATCCTCAGTAGGGGGTATGCAAGAGGCAGCCAATCGATGTTTCCCTAATCATCAATGTGTCTATCTTTCTCTCCCTTCTCCCTCTCACTTTCTCTCTGAAACATTGATTGATTGCTTCCTGCACGAGCCCAAACTGAGGCTGGGGACCAAACCTGCAACCCAGGTGCGTTCTCTTGACTGGGAATTGAACCCGTGACTCTTCAGTCTAAGAGCTGATGCTCCAACCACTGAGCAACACCAGCCAGGGCCAGAAAAAATATTTTTTAAATTATTATTTATTTATTTTGTTAATCCTCACCAGAGGAAATTTTTCCATTTATTTTCAGACAGAGTGGGAGGGAGGGAGGGGAGAGGGGGTGAGAGAGAGAGAGGAGGGAAACATAGATGCTAGAGACACATCGATTGGTTGTCTCCTGCAGGTCCCTGCCCAGGTTGTGGGCCCAATTCCCAGTGAGGGGCATGCAGGAGGCGGCCAGCCAATGTTCTCTCTCATCAATGTTTCTATCTCTCTCTCCCCCTCCCTTCCTCTCTTTCTAAAATCAATAAAGAAAAAATATCAAGAAAAAAAAATCCAGGTGGATAAAGACCGCAACAATAAAAGCAAACTTTAAATTATGTAGGATACCTTCACGAATGGGACACTCCTGGATCAACAAGGCTTAACAAGCAAAAACCATACAGATAAGGATTAACAACTCTGACATCAACATCAAAAATGTCCACACAACAAAAGACAACATGATATAAATCGAAATACAAGTGGCAAGTGGAGAGACTGTATTATAAAATAGAAAAGGGCCTTGGCCAGTTTGGCTCAGTGGTTGAGTGTCGGCCTGCGGACCAGAGAGTCCCGGGTTCGGTTCCTGCTAGGGGCATGTACCATAAAAAAAATAATAATAATAATAAAATAAAATAGAAAAGGGACAAAGGAATAGTGCCAAGTTCTAAAATTAATTTTTGCAGAACAACAACAAAACATGAGTGAACGATACAAAGAGCCACTTCAGAGAGAAATAGAAATCCCCTGAAAACACAGATTATCTGCACATGAAAAGATCATCAACATCATTAGTCATTAGAGAAATGCTAGCAAAACCACAGTGAGATACCACTTCACACCCACTAGTGTTGTCAATATAAACCACAAAATAGAAAATAGCAAGTGTTGTGAGGAAGTGGAGAAACAGGAACCCTCACATTGTTGGTGGGAATGTAAAATGGTTTAGCTGCTTTGGAAAACAGTCTTTTTCTCCAAAAGTTAAACACAGAGTCATCACCTGACCCAGCAATTCTAATTCTACTCCTAGATGTGTATTCCAGAAAAATGCAAACATGTCTACAAATAAACCTGTACATGAATTAGGAGCTCACAGCAGCACTATTCATGATAAACAAAAAGTAGAAACAATCCAAATTAACATACATCAACTGATGAATTAATAAACATAATGTGGAAATCCACATAATGGAATGTTCTAATATTCTTCAGTCATAAGAGAAACTGAATCCCTGGCTGGTGTGGGTAAGTGGTTAGAGCGTCTGCCCTTGAACCAAAGGTCATCAGTTCAATTTCCAGTCAAGGGCATGTGTATCTGCGTTGCAAGTTTTCTTTTCTTTCTTTCTTTTTTTTTTTTAATCCTCACCTGAGGACATTTTTCCATTTTTTGTTCAGGTAGAGTGGAAGGGAGAGAGAGGAACAGAGAGAAACATCAACGTGAAAGGGACATATCGAGTGGCTGCCACCTGCACGACCAACCAGGGCCAGGGACAATCTGCAACCGAGGTACGTGCCCTTAGCGGGAACCGAACCCAGGTCTCTCTGGACTGCAGGCCAACGCTCTAACTGCTGAGCCAAACTGGGCAGGGCTCTGGGTTGCAGGTTTGATCCTTGGCCCGGTTGGGGCACATGCAGGAGGCAACCAATCAATGGGTTTCTCTCACATCGATACTTCTCTCTCTTTCTCTTCCCCTCCTTCTCTTACGCTCTCTAAAAATCAATGGAAGAAAAAATCCTCAGGCTTCAATAACATAGATGAATGTTAAAAATGTTATGCTCAGTGCCCTGGCAGGTTTGGCTCAGCAGTTAGTGTCGGCCTGCGGTCCAGAGAGACCCGGGTTCAGTTCCCGCTAAGGGCACGTACCTCAGTTGCAGTTTGTCCCCGGCCCTGGTTGGTTGTGCGAGTGGCAGCCACTCGATGTGTCCGTTTCACATTGATGTCTCCCCCCCCCCACTCTATCTGAACAAAAAATGGAAAAATGTCCTCGGGTGAGGATTTAAAAAAAAAAAATGTTATGCTTAGTTAAAGAGTATACATTGTATGATCCCATTTATATGATGCTTATAACATGTAGTTCCATAAAAACTGAAAGTCGGTAAGTAGTTGCCAGGAGCTGGGAAAAGGGGGGAATGGAGAATGACTACTAATGGGTATAGGGTTTCTTCTCGGTTTGATGAAAATGTTCTGGAATTACAAAATGGTGATGGCTGCAAAACTTTTGAATATAATAAACATCACTGAACTGTGAACTCTGAATGGATGAAACATATTGTATATGATTTACATCTCCATAAAGCTATAATAAGTAAATTTACACCTTCAAGAACAATGCTAGTGATGCTAAGCACAGACATGTCCCCTGTAAGGGGACAAGTCTCCCCCAGCCTAACCAGAAGCTCTTGACCTTGGCAGTATCCCCTCGGGCATCTGGAAATCTGTGGAGGTGTCAGCTTGTCACAAAGATGGAGGCAGGGAGGACTGCTGGCATTGGATGGGCCTGGGCTGGGGAGGCATATCTGCTACCATGCTTGGAACTGCCTACATTTGGCCATCCTGTGCCCCAAAGGACCTGCAGATATCATCAACCTGGGGTACTTCAGAACAATACTACATGTGTTACAAGACATTAGGGAAAGGATGCCTTCATTTAGAAGGAACCTAAAAGGAAATTCAGATTCTGTACTGAATTCATGAACTCATTCTCTACTCTGCATCTCTCTTCTTCACAAAAGTGCCTGTTCCAACTACACCCTCAGCCAATAAGGGTGTGAGTGTCATAGTGAGGTTATTGCAAAAAGAACAAGTGGATGAAAAAGAAAAAAGAACAAATGGTCACCAGTATACAGGAAGACATTAGGACACTCTGGGGAAATAGTATTAAATTAGGGCATTTAAGGAAGGAATTGCACTGAATTTCATTAATTAGGGTTGTTTTAAAAATGTCTCAGTCCTGAATGGTTTTGCTCAGTGGTTAAAGCATTGACCCATGGACCAAAGGGTTGTGGGTTCGATTTCTGGTCAGGAGTACGTGCCCGGGTTACAGGTTCAATCCCCAGCCTTGGTTGGGGTTGTGCAGGAGGCAACCAATCAATGTGTCTCTCTTGAATCGATAATTTTTTCTCTCTCCCTCCCTCCCACTCTATCTAAATATCAACTGAAAAATATCCTCAGGTAAGGATTAACAAAAATAAAAATAAAATAAATGTCTCATACACATTTGTGTATTAGTATTTTTAGCTAAACAATGTTGCAAAAATTATGTTGTAAAAAATTCACCTTGAATCTGTTCGCATATTTGAGGGGTTCACTGTTTTTCTCCAACTCGTCCTCTGACCCTCCTCAGATTGTCCTCCATGCCACTTCTCTGAAGCCCCCGTGTTACGAATTTTGCTCAACCTGGTGGTCTCCAAGGCTTTCTATACACTGAATGTTGACCCAGCACATGCTGAGACCTCAGGTTTGGAGAACTTTCTGTGATAAATTGTCCCCATGCTATTACAGGTCATAAAACAGCGGGTGACTCACCTGCGGATAAGACCCAACTCACCCAGACAACCTAGGATGCCTTATAGTGTAAGTGCTTGGAACCTGCCCCCACCAAGGTACTGTCTTTCTTACTTTCCTATTTAATATGCTGATCTGGGTCCACTTCCTCAATATTCACTGTTCCAGCAGCATCTACCCTTACCTCACTTCATTCAATTTCACTGAAGACAATAAATTCTGATTGTCCTTTTTTTAAAATCCTCACCCAAGGATATTTTTGTTTTTCTTCACAGAGAGTGGGAGGGAGAGAGAGGGAGAAAAAGGGAGAGAAAAGGAGAGAGAGAGAAACATCAACGTGAGAGTGACACATTCACTGGTTGCCTCCTACATGACCCAGGGCTGGGGGTGAACCGTGGTACTAAAACTGAACCAGCGACTCATTGGCCCGAGGGCCATCACTCTACTGCTGAGCCAAACTGGCCGGGGCTGTCCTATTTTAATCCAAACATAGTCTCCAGCACCAGGCTGCTTCCTATGTCTTCTAGGGTGGCTATGCCAAGCATTTAAATATACAAACATATATTTTAATACAAATGCTTTTCTTTTCATTGATTCTCCACGTATACACAAGACTTCAGAATTTTAAAAATTATGTGGATATGTAATGTTATCTGCAAAATTCCTTTCACGATGGTAAAAGGAACATTGCAAAAACTTGATCATAAAGAGTGAGCATTATAGCCCGGCCAGTGTGGCTCAGCAGATTAAGTGTCATCCCATGTACTGAGAGATCCCAGTTCTATTCCTGGTCAGGGCAAATGCCCAGGTTACGGGCTCAGTCCCTAGTAGGGGGTGTGCAGTAGGCAGCCAATCGATGTTTCTTCTTTCCCTTCCTCTCCCTCTAAAAAATCAATAAAAACATTTTTAAAAAAAGAGTGAACATTACACAAAAATTAACTGAAAGTGGATTACAGGCCTAAATATAAAAGCTAAAACTCCTAAATATAAAACTCCTAAAAGAAAAGCAGGTATAAACCTTCAGAAACTTGAAAACATCAAAAGCATAAGGGACCAAAAAACAGTAGGTAATTAAAACCTTTAGTGCCCTAGCTGGTTTGGCTGAGCAGTTAAGGGCATGGGCCTGCAGACCAAAGGGTCTTGGGTTCAATTCCTAGCCAAGGGCACATACCTGGGTTGCAGGTTTGATCCCCAGCCCTGGTCGGGATCATGTGGGAGGCAACCAATCAATGTGTCTCTCTCACATCGAAGTTTTTCTCTCTCTCTCTCTCTCCCTCCCTCCCTCTCCTCCACTCTTTCAAAAAATCAATGGAAAAATATCCTCGGGTGAGAATTAACAACAAATAAATAAATTTAAATAAATAAATAACTCTTACAACTCAATAATAAAAAGATCAATAACCCATTTAATAAATGGGCAAAGGATCAAAATAGATAATTCTCCAAAAACAATATACAAACAGCCAATAAGCATAATCACTTATTGGAAAAGATGTGCAATATCATTAACCATCAGGAAAATGCAAATCAAAACCACAGTGAGATATCACTTCACACCCACTAGGATGACTACAATCAGTTCCACTCCTAGGTACTTGTCCAAGCGAAATGCATACACATGTCCACACATACACACACAAAAATTACACATGAATGTTCACAGAAGCATGATACATAATATCCAAGAAAGTGGAAGCAACTGAAATGTCCATGAACTGATGAATGGGTAAACACAATGTGGTATATCTGTACTACAAAATGATACACATCCATAAAAATGAATTAAGTATTGATTCATGCTACAATGTGGATGAATCTTGAAAACATTCTAAGAAGCTGAAACAAAAGACTACATATTGTAATTCCATTTACATGAAATGTCTAGACTACCCAAATGCAGAGACAGAAAGTTGATTAATGACTGCCTAGGCTGAAAGGGATAGAGGAGATGGTGACTGATTGCTAATGGGCACAGGCTTTCATTTTAGGGATGGCAGAAATATTCTAAAATTGTTATTGGTAATAGATATACAACCTAGTGGATATACTGAAAACCAGTGCATTTTATACCTTAAGATGGTAGATTATATGGTTTGTCAATTTATCTCAGTAAAGCTGCATTAAAAAATAAGCAGGTGTTGAGTCTGTCAGGGTCATAACCACTGGTCTAGACCTCTTAAGACGTTATTTATTTATTCTTTTGGCAATTATCTTCAAATAGAGCGGGAGGGGGAGAGAGAGAGAAACATCGATGTGAGAGAGACATTGACTGGTTGCCACCCACACAACCCCAACCGGGGCCGGGGATGAACCGCAACAGAGGTACATGCCCTTAGCAGGAACCGAACCCATCCAGGACTCTCTGGTCCACAGGCCGACGTTCTAACCACTAAGCGAAACTGGCCAGGGCTAGACTTTATGAAGTAACAGTTTTATAGGATGTGCCAAGGTTGTGTAGAATTCCTTTCCCAGGCACACACCTCTAAAGGGCTTATCCCCAAACTCTATGACCATGTGGAGAAATCCACTTAGGCCCAGTGCCTGGGTGTTTGACAATGGCTGCCAAATCTCAGCTGTGTAAGTCCATCTGCATGGTTCCTGCCATCTCTGTGGACCAAACATGATAATGTTTACTTGTTCAAATAATGCAATCTTTAACAAACAAATTGTTTTCCACCAACTTTAGCCCTGTCCTAACAAAGTCACCTGCCTAACTACCAATTATGATAAAGTCTGACTCCATTTTTGATGATTGACTGCTGACAGCTTTCAAGTACCACTCCCCATCCCTGTCACCTTCATTCACCCCACATCTAGGTAAACTAAGAATAAAGCCTGAATACTTTCTCCTTGGGGTTGGCAGGAAGTTCAAACCATGCAAGCAAGCCCCAAGCAAGGCAAGGCCACCCTCATCCCAGCTCCACTCTCTAATGACAATAAAAGCCCAGCCAGTCTCCTTTTCCTGTTCTCTCAAACTTTTTTTTTTTTTTATCTTCACCCACGGACTTTTTTTTTTGCATTTATCTTCAGATAGAGAGAGAGAGAAACATCGACGTGAGAGAGAGACATCAACTGGCTGCCACCCACACCCATACAACCCCAACTGAGGCCAAGGAAAAACTGCAACCAAGGTACATGCCCTTAGCAGGAACCGAACCTGGGACTCTCCAGTCCGCAAGCTAACATTCTAACCAGTGAGACAAACCAGCCAGGGCTTGCAGGCTATTTTTAATTACCTTAAGAAGACTATCCTGCTCTCCCAAGACAGTCTCATTATGTGAGCAATCAAATCTTTTATTCTTTTGGTGTGTCTGTGTAAAATATATAAAGAGAATGTATATATGTGTGTTTGAGACAGGGAGTTACATGAAATTCACTGGTGCTAGATTAGGGAGGTGGCAGAAAGCAAAGCAGAGAGCTGGGATTGGATGAAAAGTAAAATGATAGACACATCTTTTACATAAGTAGATACAGGATAGTTAACAGTCAACAATCAATTAATTCAATAACAATGACGGGACCTGTGTTCTCTGCAGAGTAGTGCCGGTGCTTTGAGAAGTCCGGAAAGAGGAAAGTTACTTTGATATTCCAAAAATACGTTATAGTCGCAAAAAGACGACAGACTCAGTTAAGGTAAAGATTGACCTCTGTCAGGGAAGATGCCAAACGAGGACATGACTACCTGCTATAAACTGCTTTCAGTTTAAAAGTTTTAATTTCAGACCACCCTTTGCAGTTAATTTAGGTCTTTGGGTTTGCAAAGCTGCCACGTAGGCCTTACCTAAGTTTCCCGGGTGGCCCCTTTTCATCCACAATCTGTACCTCAATTTTGCCTCAAAAATTGTAGCCCTGGCCGGTTTGGCTCAGCGGTTAGAGCGTCGGCCTGCGGTCCTGAGAGACCCGGGTTCGGTTCCTGCTAAGGGCGCATACCTCGGTTGCAGTTTGTCCCCGGCCCTGGTCGGTTGTGCGGGTGGCAGCCACTCGATGTGTCCCTTTCACATCGATGTTTCTCTCTCTCTCTGTTCCTCTCTCTCCCTCCCACTCTACCTGAGCAAAAAATGGAAAAATGTCCTCGGGTGAGGATAAAAAAAAAAAATTGTAAAAAGCAATAGTTCTGAACTCAAATCAACCAATGAATGCATAAGTAAAAATAACAAATTGATGTTTCTCTCCCCCCTTTCTCTCTTAAAAGCAAAATCAATAAAAAAGAAAAAGTCTCTTAAAAACTTTTTAAAAAGCCCTGGCCGGTTTGGCTCAGCGGTTAGAGTCGACCTGTGGTCCAGGGAGACCCGGGTTCAGTTCCCGCTAAGGGCATGTACCTCGGTTACAGTTTGTCCCCAGCACTGGTTGGTCATGCGGGTGGCAGCCACTCGATGTATCCCTTTTACGTCGATGTTTCTCTCTCTCCCTCCCACTCTATCTGAACAAAAAATGGAAAAATGTCCTCGGGTGAGGATACCAAAAAAAAAAAAAAAATAGTGCTTCACTCTAATTGATGTTAAGCACCCTGAGGTATTTAAGGGGGAAGCCTGGTGGTATCTGCCACTTAAATACATCCCCATAAAGATGTAATGAATAGGTAATAGGATGGACAAGGGGAAATATGTGAGATACAGCAAGTACACGAGATATTAACAGGTCAGTATATTTCAACTTTTCTATATGTGTAAAAACATTTATCATGAACTGCTAGGGGAAGAGCGGGCTACTAAGAGAATGAACCACTAAAACCAAGTAAGAGAAAAGCAAAACTGCCATAAAACAGGTGGGAAAACGCGGCCCTCATTGGGAACTGCACCAAGCCCGGACTTGGCAAATATCAGGTGAGGAAAAAACAGGTGATTTGTCACCTGCGGGACTCAGCGGAAAACGGAGCAGGTCACAGGCGCCAGGCCCTCCCGCCAGCCGGCAGCAAAGGAGCGGTAGGCGGGGGTCGCCGAGCGGCGCGGCCGGGACACCAGGCAGGCCGGCACGAAAGGGTGCTGAGGAAGAACCGGCTGAGCTCCGCGAGGGGAAGGAGGAAGGCTGGGAACATCCGCACACCCAGAGGAACCTCACCCGCCGGGGGACGGCCTCCCGCCCCGGAGGCGGCCTCACCCTCATAGGCGAGGGCAGCCTCGCCCCCCGCCAACCCCGCCCTGCCAGAGGACTGCGCCCACTATCCGCCTGAAACCCGCCTGCACGGCGCCGTTCACAACTCTGCGGAACCCGGGGCACACTCCCCGCGGAGGAAAACTAAGACATCGAAAGGCTTGGGGCGCGGCGGGACTCACCTCCGGCAGACAGGCGAGCGGCAGCGGCGGCGGCGGCCATGTTCAGGACAGTGCGCGTGCGCGTGGCAAGACCCGGATGTGCGCGTCCCCGTAGGCTCCGCAGCGCCCACCGCGGTGTGGAAGAGCGTTCCGAGTTCACCTCTGCGGGGGCCTGCGGGCGGCTGCGGGCGTTTAGTCGGGTCATCTGGAGCAGGGTGCCGACTCGCCTTCGCGCGCCGGGCTCCAGGCCTTCACCTCCAGTGGGGCGGACTTTGACACCTGTCCCCTCCGACGCCGGGCGCGCGAGTCCCCAGAACAGCGCAGTCCAGAGAGCTGGCCTTCCTCCCCTATTTATTTATTTCCTTCTTATTTATTGATATTCAGAGGGACTCAAGGATATTTGTCTCCTGTGGTTTTAATCCGATGCCGTCGTTATTGTAGGGCCTTATTTTTATTTACTTTGTGGTTTGCCAAAATAATTCTGTACCATTATTTTATTTTATTTCATATATCTTCAGATAGAGCGGAAGGGAGAGGGAGGAAGGAGAGAGAGAAACATCAACATAAGAGACAATATGGACTGGTGGCCGCTCACACAACCCCAACCGGGTAGGGACAAACTGCATCCGGGGGTCCTTGCCCTTAGCGGGAACCGAACCTGGGTCTCTCTGTTCTGCAGGCAACACTCCAGTGTTTTTATTGCCCAGCCAGTGTGGCTCAGTGGTTGAGTGCAGACCCATGCACCAAGAGGTTGCTGGTTCCATTCCTGGTCAGGGCACATGCCCAGTTTATGGGCCTGGTCCCCAGTGGGGGGCCTGCAGGAGGCAGCCAATTGATGTTCTCCCTCATCGATGTTTCTCTCTCTCCCTTTCTCTCTCTCTAAAATGAATAAAGAAAAATAATTTTTTAAAATAGGTTTTTATTAATTTTTTTTTAGAGAGAGATAGAAACATCAATATGAGAGAGAAATATTCATGGACTGCCTCCTGCACAGCCCCTACTGGGGATTGAACCCAAAACCAGGCATGTGCCCCAACCCAGAATGGAACCAGGACCTCTCAGTCTATGGGAAGTTGTTCAATCCACTGAGCCACACTGGAGGGCTAAGTAATGATTTTTTTAAATTTCCTTTTTTCTTTTTCAGTGTAAAATTTTTATATTTAGCCAGCTGGACTCAGTTGAGATGATCCCAGTTTTGTTGGCAACATCCAAAGCATCATAGTCAGGAGCCAGTCGAACATATACCTTCTTCTTGCCATCAGGCCTCATCAGGGTGTTGACCTTGGCCACATGAACGTCATGGAGTTTCTTCACAGCCTGTTTGATCTGGTGGTTGTTGGCCTTGACATCCACAATGAACACAAGTGTATTGTTGTCTTCTATCTTCTTCATGGCTGACTCTATAGTCAGGAGGAATTTGCTGATGGCATAGTGGTCAAGCTTGTTTCTCCTGGGTGCGCTCTTCCAAGGATATTTAGGATGCCTTCGGAGCCTCAGTGTTTTAGGCCAACGGAAGGTGAGTGACGTGCGGATCTTCTTTTTTTGTGTGTGTGGCTGTGGATGCCTTTCAGCACTGCCTTCACTGCTTTCAAAGCCTTTGCTTTGACTTCGGCTTTAGGAGGGGCAGGGGCTTCCTTCTTCGCCTTCAGTGCCATCTTTGTAAAAAAAAAAGCAATTTCGTTTTTTAAGTAATGATTTTATTTATTTATTTATTTATCTTTGCTCGAGGGCATTTTCCCATCTTTTGTTCAGATAGAATGGGAGGGAGAAAGAAACATCGATGTGAAAGGGACACATCAAGTGGTTGCCACCCGCACGACCCAACCAGGGCCAGGGACAAACTGCAACTGAGGTATATGCCCTTAGTGGGAACCGAACCCGGGTCTCTCCGGACCACAGGCTGACGCTCCAACCGCTGAGCCAAACCGGCCAGGGCTAAGTAATGATTTTAGATAGAAGATTAACATGCAAATCAATGTATGTGTTATGGAAAATATCCATAAAAATCGGTGATACAGTTAAAATGTCCTTTGAAAATAAATGTTGTCAATTTTATGTATATTATATAATAGCTACTTTATTTACTTATTTATTTTATTGGTACGTGCCCCTAGCGGGAACCGAACCTAGGACTCGCTGGTCTGCAGGCTAATGCTTCAACTGCTGAGCCAAACCAACCAGGGCTATAATTGCTACTTTAAAGTGTTTGATAATTGCAACATCCGGTTTATCTCAGGGTTGGCATCTGTTTGAGAGTCTAAGTGTTGATCATTGGTCATATTTGTCTTTTTTTTAATATAAAATAATTTGGATCGTATCCTGAATATTTTGAACATTATGTTGTGAGACTAGAATCTGTTCAAATCAGCTGGATACTGTATTTTTTGTTTGTTTGTTTGTTTGTTTGTTTGTTTTAGCAGGCAATCAACACAACTAAGTTAAACTGTAAGTTCTACCTCATCTTCTGTGGATGGTGGTTCCAATGTTGGTTTAGTTTCTATCTTTGCTATGGTCTTTGGGTCTGCCTGATATGTGCATAACTCAGGAATTATTCTGGAAGTTGGGTGGTGGTTTATATTTAGTTATGTTCCCAAAGCCTTTCTAAAGCTTCTTTGGGTTTGTTTCATGTTTGCCCATGAGAATAAGCCCAGGACTTGTCAGTTCATAGACAGAATTTGACAGTCTTCTTTTTCAGTTGTCTCCTAACAAATATTTCTCCACACGTTTTGTTTTGTTTTTGGCACTCAGCAATTCTTTTCGCTGGTTTCTCTGGCCAGAAAAATGGGTTTCTGTCAGAGTGTAGGTCCGTGCTGCTGGGGCCTGCTTTGGGGTACATAGCAGTGAAAGTAAAACAGGAGAAAAAAATTTTTTTCCACAGTCCTCAGACAACAGCGGCCCATTTTCCTTTTTTTTTTTTTTTCTGGCCAGAGAGAGAGGATGCAATGGGGTATGCCTTCCAGGAAAAGTAGTGGGTAATAAGACCACTAAAAGTTAATAGGATTCCCCTGAAATTCTTCGGTAAATTTTTCTGGTCTTCTGACTAGAAATAGGGGGTTTTCCTGGAGTTCTGCTGTCTGTGCCCATGGTACAATTACAGGGTTTGGCTTACTGTCAAATGTGGGAGAAAAAGTAGGAGGACAAAACACAAATCATACCTCTCTTATATACAGTTTTTTTTGTTTTGTTTTTGTTTATCCTCACCCGAGGACATTTTTTTATATTTTGTTCAGATAGAGTGGGAGGGACAGAGAGAGAGAGAGAGAGAAACATCGACGTGAAAGGGACACATCGAGTAGTTGCCACCCGCATAACCCAACCAGGGCCGGGGACACACTGCAACTGAGGTACGTGCCCTTAGCAGGAACCGAACCCGGGTCTCTCAGGACCGCTAAGCCAAACCGACCAGGGCTACAGTTTTTATTTCTGCCTGCTATTGTTTAATTTTCAGAGTTCTCGAGTAATTATTTTTGTAATCTATTTAGAGATTTCAGTTGTAGTCAGTGGGAGAGAGGTTGTAATTGGGTTTCACCAGCACCAGGACTCCCGGGCACCACCTTTTCCTGCAGATCACCTTAGCCTAGTCCGCAGCTCCCTCTAGCGACCGCAAGGGGAAATGACAGCGCGTCCTAGATGTTAAGGTCCTTAAGGCACTCAGGGAAGATGATCCCAGGGCCACAGCTAAAAGGAAAAGTCGCCCTGGCCGGTTTGGCTCAGCGGTTAGAGCGTCGGCCTGCGGTCCTGAGAGACCCGGGTTCGGTTCCCGCTAAGGGCATGTACCTCGGTTGCAGTTTGTCCCTGGCCCTGGTTGGTTGTGCGGGTGGCAGCCACTCAATGTGTTCCTTTCATATCGATGTTTCTCTCTCTCTCTGTGTTCCTCTCTCTCCCTCCCACTCTACCTGAACAGAAAAATGTCCTCGGGTGAGGATAAAAAAAATAAATAAAATAAAAAAATAAAAGGAAAAGTCATCCGCCGGGCTCAAACTCGAGCAACAGGTCGACAAGATCCTGAGACCCATCACATTTATTTTTTACTATTATTTTTTTTTTTCATCTTCATGAGTTTTATTGAGAAGTGGAATGAAAATTATGAAAACAAAGGAAAAGTTTGGTTTTAATGAACTTGGAATGTTAGTACTTCATTATAGAGATGGCTTTTTCAGTATTGCTAGCAGCAAAGCCTATCAATACCCATGTTACCATTGACTAGAAATGGACTTCACATAATTAAGCAAAAATAAACAGCTGAATCATGTGGTCATTAGGAGTTTGTACATAAACTTTATTTCATTTTTCTTTTGGACGTGAACTTTAGCAGTATAAGATAAAAGCGATGATATGACATCCTGTTTATGAAAATAATTTTCTTCAGCTTAATATTATGGGAATTCAGAGGAAACTTCCTTTCCTTTTTCTCGCCTCTTAAGAGTATATTCTCTGCCAGTTCTGTCTCCAGGCCATGCTCATTTTCTTTCAATTCACATCTAAATGCGGACTATTTCTAATTGTTTCAAGATGGGTTTCTTAATGAAAAGTCACTGCCGATTCCAGCAAATGTACCAGGCATCTGTGATAAACAACTTCAATAGGCAGGTTTTTCCCGACACGTGGGCTTCAACAGTCTTTGCCTGAGCGACCTCTTGTCTTTCAGCACCGCTTCCGAATGATTATGCATGCTTTGCAGAGTATGACCCTTCTGAGGCAAAGAGTGTGAACAACATCTGCTGTATCTTTTTCCAGTCTTAGAAGTTCCATTTCCAGATTTTTCTGATTGATTTCAGCTTGAATAGTTGTGATCTGACATAGCCTGGAGAAGCTCACAAATCAAGAAGCTGATTTCTTAGATACATTTAACATCTCCTGAGTGACTATCTCTGAAGTTACAAAACGGCCCAGCAGTAGCCCGCAGTTTTGGAGTGGACACTGGGTCCCAAGGATTGGCTCTAGCCATAGCTCCCTATTCACCCTTTGAAGCTACACGTGGACTACCAACCATGGCCTATAGGGGGTGGTAGAGGACTATTTATCATGTGACTGAAATTGACTTTGGCCATTTTAGGTGTTCTTATCAGAGTTTTGTT